AAAGGGAAGGAGGCAGCAGCAATGCCACCTGTCTGAGAAGGAGGAAGAGGGACCAGGGCACCAAGACATAGATGGGCATCTAAAGAAACTATCTGCCTCACGGCTTTTTGAGGGCCAGCGCTCACTGTCTGTTGACAGGTAGAAGTTTACCCCCTGTGCTGAAAACGAGGTCTGCCTACGGCTCAGCCTAGCTCCCTCTTTGTAATTGACACACTCCCTTGCTAAGAGCCGTGGAACATCTGTTTCCTAACTCTGGATCTGGGTTGAAGCAAAAGGAAAGTAAACTCAGTGGTGAGCAGAGAATTAGGTGGGAGCTTGGTGAGTCAAATTGGAGAGAAGGAGGTTGGCCGTGGTCTGGATCGCAACAGGTATCCCGTAAGTGCCAGACTGGCTGCTGCTCTTGTGAAGTTAGTTGAGCTTTGTTTTGGGTGTTGTTAGCTTTTCACTTCTTGCTTTTCTCCTGTATCCCAGCGTATCCGATGTTAAGTGATATCACCTGTTGTTCACCTATACTTGAACCTTTTTTTTTTAACCACTAAGGTGTAAATGACTGATAACAGCTCCGAAAGAAATAACGATATATCCTAAATTGGTGTAGTATCAGTCCCCTTTCACATACCCTCAGCAGGCCTTGTTCAGAAGTTCTCTTTTTTTTCCATCAGTTTTGACTTCATGATTTTTAAAATCAAAATAATGGTCTGATAATAACTACAAATTAGAAAGCATTGTTAAGGATGATGAAAGCCATTTACCATCCTGGGGATAGAGTGTTTTCTTCAGAATGAATATTTATTTATATTCAAGAGAAACACCAAAGGGATGGAGTTCTAATATTATGTCAGGCGGTAACTACTCCTGAAGAGGATATTTGGTATTCAGAACTCTTTTCAGGGGCTCTAAAATCCAGTCTCCTACTCAATCTAAGTATATAGTATTTGGCAAATAGTAAGTTGTCAGTAATAGTTATACAAATAAATACATGAGTTGTTTCCCAGTGACCACACCATAACATCTTTCTTGTGGAAAGGTGTCTGTGACTATAGCTTAGACCAGCTGCAGCGTTCGAACAGAAATGAGAGTCTTAATAGATGATGCAGAAGCATGGAACCCAGAGTTGGACAGAGCTTTTCTATGCTCATTTGCAACTTGGCCCTGACTGTGGCTTCTCTGTCACAGACGTTGGGGTGGGAGCGAGCTCCCGCAGGGAGAGCTGAGCATGCTGACGTGGAAACCGAACAGAACCTTGGCTGGGTTTGGAGTCACTGCTGTTTTACTCACTTCCAGATGTCTGCTGTTGGAGTTTTAAGGAAAAGGGAAAGATCTGTGGAGTTTGGTGGGCCAGCTGTGTGGAAGGGGAAGGGTGTTCCTCTTTTAAGCCTTTCAACTCATGTTCAAAGCCACCCCTCAAGATGGATTGGATAAAACTTTGAAAAATGTGCTCTTCCGTAGTACATCTTTCATTTACACAGTTGACTGCATACGTAGTAACAGGCAAACTGAAGAAGACTGTAAAATAATCAGGATTCTAAAAACAACCAGGATCCTACCACTTTGGATGTGATCTAATATTTATGAAGTGCCAGCCATTGAACGTATATTGAATGGTACATACAGCAGATGAGCTAGCTGCCCCAATAGCTATTGTGCTAACCTCACAAGTTCACCAGGTGCTTGTTATATATCTCCTTTCTCCTTTTGTGTTATTTTGAGGTGTCTTTTTTTTTGAAATTAAAGTTTATTGGGGTGACAATTGTTAGTAAAGTTACATAGGTTTCAGGTGTGCAATTTTGTAATACATCATCTATATATCACAGTGTATGTTCACCACCCAGAATCAGTTTTCCTTCCATCACCATGTATTTGATCCCTTTTACTTGAGGTGTCTTTTAATACTAATACTATCATTATAAATTAGAAAAAGATGTCAGGTTTTAATGTTTATGAATGTGGAGATGAGGCCCTCTGAAATGTTTTCAAACAGTGTATCTGAGTCCTTTCTAAGAGGTCCTGGCACCACCAGGGACCAGTCCAGGGGTATAGGTTAAAAGTCCCTGATGGGTTGGTAGGGTTTTCTTGTTTCTTTCTTTTTTTTTAAATTGGGCAATTGGGGGATGGGAACAGACAAGTTGCTATCCTTTTGTTCTTCAGTCTAGTTGTGGAGGACGTTGCTTCACTGGCCCAAGTTGGCACCATCATTGCACTCTTCCCGGCCGAGGCAGATCAGTCGCCGGCTTCTGGACGGCCACTCATGGTGGCTGCTGGCCACTCACACTGGCTGCTGGCTACACACGGTAGTGCATGGCAACCCACTGCAGCAGGGGCTGCAGTCTACGCCATCGCCGGTGACTCATGGCAGCCTAGCTCCAGGTTGAGCTGTTGTTCAGCATCTTAGCTGTAGAGGGCAGTGTCACTGGCCCTCATACGTGGGATCCAAACCAGGGCCCTCTGGCGTCCCAAGCCAGCTCTTAACCACCGCGCCACTCAGCTGGCCCAGGGTTTCCTAGTTTCTTTGTTTTACTGGGAAGCTATGGAACTAGCATGATACAAGTCCTGGTAGGCAAAGAAAGCACAGGAGAAGCAGTATAGCAAAATGGTTATGGGATTTGAATTAGACAGACCCAGTTCAAGTTCAGGCTCTGTCACTTACTAGCTATGTGAACTTAGACAAGATACTTCACATCTCTAAGACTCAGTTTTTCATCTGAGTTGGGCAGGGAGAAGGGGTAAGAAATAACACCCCTTCCCTTGTCTAACCAGGTTGTGATCTAACCAGAAATAAGGAAAAGGGTAAGACAGGTAGAGGTCAGCATGTTACCTTTATTATTGTTAAAGCTGATATTAAAGAATGTATCTTTGTATGGGCCAAGTGGGCTTCACAGCAAGGCATTTCTACCCAACAACCTTAAACCAGGATAGACCTCCCCCTGCAGGGGCAGAGTACAATGTATGCTCTCTCAGGAAGAGGAAGATAGGTGGCCCACATCATCCCTGATTGTTCATCTGCACTCTGCCCTCAGATTACTTTCTCCTCCCTGGGGCTAGTGTGAGGCCATGGAGAGAGGCTGGCCGGGAGTATTACATTGATGGGTCTTCTCCACATGGAAGGGAGCATCAAGGGCTGAGGAAAACTGTTTCCCCTGACAGTATCAGCTTCACTGGGTTCTTCTGAGGATTCTGTGAGATGAAGTAGGGTGTTCAGCAAATGATAAGTACTCAACAAAACTTACTGATCGATATTATCCCTGCAGCCATCATCACTCAGCATCAGAATAGTAGCAAGGAAATGAGGGAAGGGTCATATGCAAGGAAAAATAGAGGAGTTTGGAAAATGATAGGTTAATACTTATGGGGAAAAAAAAATAAAACCGTTCAGGATATCTTTAGACTACAGAAGAGGCCCAGTGCTTTGCCCTGGGATAGGAGGGCTCGTAAAGGGTCTGGACACGGTAGAAAGAGATTGGGTTTAAAATAGGTGAGAGGGAGCAGAAACCTTAACATGATGATGAATGTGAAAAATGTCCTGGAACCGAGTGCAGGGAAATCCTACCAATGATTATTCTTCTGGGATGATTTCTGGGTCTTGGGCAGTTGGCCAATCCATGTCTATTTGGTTTTCTATCTTGGACACAAAATTAGCCCACTTGCTTCCCCTATTTGAGGTTCCCATTTGTTGTTTAGCCCCAAATTTTCTTTTGGGTTGGTTTTATTTTTTTCTTGAGCTGAAAAAAAAAATGCAGACACAGGCAGATGAGGTGCAGGGAGGCAATTTAGTTTTTATCCACACCCCACTCATCCTATCCCAATGCTACTTATGCCCATGAGCTCTTCAAGGTACTCTGGACTTGCTAATCCTTAGAGTATTAAAAAATAAATTGGCTGCAAATTTTGAAAGCAATTGTTTTCCCAGGTCTCGATGGCTCTAATTTGAGTTAGGCACAATCTTTGTTTAAGGCAGTTTTCTAAATTACTTCTCTTCATTCTTCTTCTAGAAATTCGCTTCCAGGGCATTTCCTCCTCTTCCAAGCCCCCTCTTCCACCTTTTCTGTCCCACTTCTCCTCCTTTCTTAAACAGGGATCTTCAGAGTCCTTGGCTTGGTATATATGATGTTCAAGTCAGCCAACTGGGTTTTCTAAGATTCAGGGGTGACACACTTGAACTTGAGAAGAAGCCCCATGTTGGCAAGTTAGTGTCTCATTTCACACAGCATAGTGATTTTAAGTTATTGCCGGAGAGATGAAGTCAGAGAGAAGCTTGGGAAGTAGATATACAGTAATACGGAAACAGTGCTTCAATACTGAGAGTAAAAAACAGAATGAATATGAAGAAGACGCTAAAGGAAAGAGCACCAGAATATGCCAGTGTTCCACTCAGGTGGCTTTGGGAGATGGTGATTCCAACCCAGTAGATAACTTGTAGGAGACAGCATGTAATTACATGCAGAAACATGCTTGTTATGGGAGAATACTCTAATAGTTGCCATGGAGAGAAGGTTGTGTAGATTGGTTCCAATGTCATCTCACGTGTTTTTTGCCTGAAGTAAGACATGGCTTCTGTGGTTCAGGAGAACCAATGTAACTGTGGCTCAGGTAACTGGGAGTGGAAACCTGCCATAACACATGGAGGAAGCATCTTTCAGATCCTCCCCCAACTATTAAACAAGCTCTTGAAATTGTAAATCTAATGACATAATGAATTGTGTTTTGATGTCTCAGTCAATGGGCATTTCATGATAATGGCTCCACAGTCGAGCAAGCCTATATTTGATTAAAAATTTGGTCTATTTAGAAGTTTCTGAATTTCGAGTAAATAAAAAAGCTGCCCATGAATGTGACAGCTGAAACATTCACTCAGTGAAGCACAAAAAATAGGGCTGATGTCAGCGCCAACTCCCAAGTTTGAAAATGAATGTCATTTTGTTATTCCTCTTAAAAGTCGATATTTTTTTTCTTTGAGTTGCTCTTTACAACATCGGCTAAGTGGCTTTCTTGTTGGATTTTAGGGTTTAGCACAATACTCCGTCCTCTTCTATGGCTATTATGACAATCGAAGAACTGTTGGAGCGCTGAATTTCAGATTGCCGCTCTCCTATTTCCTAGTGGGGATCGCGTGCATTGGATACAGCTTTCTGGTTGTCCTTAAAGCGTAAGTTTCATCGGTCTCCTGGGAAGCAAGCAATGATTTCTGGAATCAAATGAGAGAAGGGATATCATTTTTTTTTCTGTTTCATGTGTAGAGGATGCAGTCTGTGAGATAAAATGTTGTTTGAATACTGACACTAATGTTATATCATGACATCCTCCAAACAAAGGGCTGAACACAGGCCTTTGGGTCATCTCACTGGGCTGCACTGATAGTTGCATGCCTATCCTGTGTTTAAGCATATTTTAAAAATGTGCCCTTTTGTACTTCAAAGTGTAAATTAATGTTGCAAACAAGACAGGGAAACAGCTGCTGATCCCTCTTTTCGGGGGGCAAAGAGGTTTGTGACTTACAGAACCCGTGCAATAGGCAGATCTGTTTTCTGTTCATTTTTTTTTAGAAAAGCCAGACTAATCACTCATCCAAAAAATTTCAGCTGCATGAGACAGCAAAAACAAATGGCCCCCAATGAAACCATCATGATCAACTGCATAATCATGGTCTGTCTTGGAAAAAGATTTATTAGAGCATGAGGAATAATTTTATTGGGGAACTGATGCAACAGCAGTTCAGTGTTCCCCCTGACTGACATATATTTCTAATGCTCTCCTTAAAGACACTGCAGAAACCTAGCACAGTCATTTGAGGCTATGAATGATCTATCCTTTAGCCGATTCTCTGAACTAGCCCAGGAGAAGAGTTGAAACGCCTAATGTCTAAACCTTTTGCTTGACTCTGCACAGGGCGAACTGGCCATTTGCTTCGTTTCAGGGAAGGACCGCTGCCTGAGGGTCCAAGTCACCCTGAGCAGGAGCTCTCTGGAACAGTCGGTGACACGCTGTGTGTCTTGTCCCTGTCAAACTTACTAGTTCCACCAAAGAACACTGTCATATCCAGTTTTTAAGCCCTTTCAGGAGTTGAAGAAAGCCTTAATGGAGACCCCACATCTAAAATATCTATCTATCTGTCAAGTGTAATCAGAGATCTATCTGATAAAGGACTACCATATTCCCAAATCTAAGATATTTCTAGTCTTTAACCGTTTTGATTTGGCAAGACTAAAGTCAGGGGTGCCAGTTATATTATAGAGGCATCATGAGTGTTATTTCTGTGTTCATTCCTCAGTCTCCATAGTCACTGGGGGAGCATGTTTTTGTATGTCCAGTTACTCAGCTTCTTTGCAGAGACTGTGTATCCTGGTGGGCTCACAAGCTAGTTTGCATGGATTCAAATCCCAGCTCTACCATGTACTCAAAGGCCTTCGACACATTGCACAAGTGCTCTGTCCTCCAGTTTCCCATCTCTATTAGAGTTGTAGTTATGCCTTGATCTTAGGATGGCCATAAGGACTAAGTGAGTTAATACATACAAAGCACTTAGACTATGTCTGGATGGTGGTAAGTAATTGACAAATGTTAACAATTCCATTAGGATTATAATTCATAGGCTTATTGAAGAATGAATCAAAGCCAGCATGGTAGGAGTTGAGGTTATTTGATAACCTCAGTGGCAGGGCAGTCACATATGGTTATGCAGCTGCACGTTAATGGGTCTGTATCTTTATTACAGTAATTTTCTGACAGATGAATTTAAATTCATAGAGCAGCATTGTACAAAGAAATACAAGATGAACCACACATCTCGTTTAAAATTTTCTAGTAGCCATATTAAACAAATACACAGGTAAAATTAATTTCAAGAATATATTTTATTTAATTCAATATATCAAAAGCATGATTTCTTTTTTTCCTTGTTTTGTTTTAAAGATTTTATTGGAGAATTGGGGAAGGGGAACAGTGTTGGGGAATTATGGGAGGGGAGCAGCCAAGTTGTTGTCCTTCAATCTTAGTTGTGGAGGGTGCAGATAGCTCAGCTCCAAGTCCAGTTGCCATCCAGCCGCCCGGCAGCAGCTCGCAAGTGCTTAGCTCAAGGTGCCGTGTTCAATCTTAGCTGCAGGGGTGTGTAGCCCACCATCCCATGCGGGAGTCGAACTGGAAACCTTGTTGTTAGGAGCATGTGCTCTCACCAGCTGAGCCATCCTCCCCACCTGTTGGCAGCTCACCTTGGGCGCAGCGTCACTGGGCCATGTGGGAATCAAACCAGCGACCCTGTTGCTCAGAGCTCGTGCTCTTAACCCACTGAGTCACTCAGCCAGCCCCAAAGCATTATTTCAACATATAATTAAAATAAAATTGTTATTGATATATGTACCATGTCATATTACTGCTTAATGAACTGCATCTATGAGGTCTGACAATTAAGTTCAAGAACTTGCCCTCATGCACTTACATTGGCAGCACTGTACAAGCAGCTCGGTAAGGTTTCAGAACCTTGGTATATCAGTGTCTCACAGCTGTGTTCGTGTCAATTATGACATTCAACATTGAAAAATACTCTTCTTGCAAGTATGGCCTGGGGACAGTAGTGATCCAGGATGAATGGCAACCATCAATGAAGTGAGACGATATTGTCAAAACCCGCTTATCCTTATGACAAGGAATGAACTAAATAGCAATAGCATCAGAAGCATATGATATGTATTGTACTATGTGAAAGCTTTTTATGCTGTATTTATTTGATAAGGCTCTTTCACAATGCCAAGTTTACTTCTGGAATCACAACTTATGTATACATGCATTCATTAAATAACTATTTATGAGCACTTCCTATGAGCCATCTGGGGAGCCATCTAGAATCTGCGGTTAATGATGAACAAAAAAAAATCCCTGCTTTTGTAGTGCTCAGTTGGGGAAACAGACTATAAACTAAGGAATAACCAGTAGTTATGGCTAGTATACTATAACTATGTATTTTTAGGTTATCCTTTACAGTCAAATTTACGTGCTGCAGTTTCTTCTTTCTCAAGAAGATATTCCATGTTGTTTAGGATAGTCCTTGCTCTCTCTATATTTTTTACTTGTGTATTTGTCTTATCTTGTATGCATCTAGAGAGTTGCTTTCTACCCTCCTCTCAATGCCTTTCCTCTTCCTGACTTGCATTTTAGCAGAGGCTTCATTATAGTGACCCGGTTGTTTTAGGATTTATGAAAGCATTTATTTGATATATTAAAAATGTCCACATGCATCCACAGAATGGCCAAATGACCCCAATGCGTAAATGGAGTTGTAAACTTGTGATCCAAGGCAAGAAAGTCAGCATAAAATCCTAGGCAAAGGCAGAAACACAACAATTGCTTTCTGCAACCTGCCAGCAAAACAAATGATATTATACTTCGTGGTTGCTTCCCAAATACAGTAGTCCAAAACAATTGCTCCCTTAATAAAGAAAAAAAAATTTCATAAGGATGTATGTTGTTCTCCTCTATCGACAAGGGCTAGAGCTGTACATGGAACATTTTATAGCTCCCAGGGCCATCTCTCAGCCAAAACTATGTTGTGAGCACTTTGTCTTCGATATCCTTCCTTTCGCCTATCGATATCCCACTTTCTTTCTTGCCAATTCCCACATGCTATATGTTCCCACTTTTCTTGTCCAGCTTAAGCTCCCTTCTCTAGGAGGCCACCTACAGCTATACAGTTCTGCCCGTGATAAAATTGTATTCCAAACATATCTGTCAAGCTTGAGGTCCAGCCCTATGCTCAGTGACAATGCAAAATGGATGGTGGCATCTTAATCAAATAAATAATTTTCTTCCAAGGTTAAACCACGGAAAATGTTTGATTACCACCCTTTTTGACTTAAGAAAAGGCACTTTATATGGTTCAGCATATCTCATGGTGTCCTAGCTTGGACACCAGAGTAAAGTAGAAACCCAAGCCCTTGACCTACCTCTGTGGTTTCCTGCTGGACAATGCCCAGTACATCACTTTATAATTTTAACCCTCAGCTTCTCCATCTGTAAGAGAGAATAATGTTAACCACTCTGACGTCTTGCTAAGTTTTTGAGAAGGACAAATATAATAACACACAAAAACACCATTTGCAAAGGGTGAACTGATAGACTGATGTAAGGAATAATTATATTTGGTTATTTTTTTTATAACACGTTAGCCCATTTAAAATATATAAACCTCCATAATGGGTGGGGACAGAGGGGGAATTTACATGACCTTGGGGGTACCTGTCAACCTTTGATATCAGCTTTATGTAATTGTGCTCCTTTCTTTTTTGGTTCCGTATCATCATAATATTTAACAAACCAAAACCTTATGGAACCATTTTATAGCATGTATCATATGAAATTTCTATCTTGTTATTTATAGTGATAAGAGGGGGAAAAAAAGGAAGTAGAGTAAGTAGAATATAGACCTTTAACCACTAAAATAAACCTGTAAGTAAACGCATTTTAAACTCTCCAAGCAAAATTTTTTTAAGTCACTAATTACAATATATGTAACCCCTTGGCATTAAGGTTATATAAAAATCCTGATTTTGGGGGGCTGGCTGGGTGGAACAGTTAGTTAAGAGTATGAGCTCTGAGCAACAGGGTCCTGTTTGATTCCCACATGGGCCAGTGAGCTGCGCCCAAGCTGAGCTGTTGCTGAGTTGCCAATAGGCAGGCAGATTGCTCAGCTGGTGAAAGCGCATGTTCTTAACAACAAAGTTGCCGGTTCGACTCCCACATGGGATGGTGCGCTACACACCCACCACCCCCTCAACTAAGATTGAAGGACAGCGACTTGACTTGGAGCTGATGGGTCCTGGAAAAACACAAGGTTCCCCTTCCCCAATTCCTCCAACACTGTTCCCTTCCCCAGTTCCCCAATAAAATCTTATATATAAAAAAAAAGAGTACTGATTTTTGGTCAAGAGTTGTAGAGTATGGAGAAATTTCATGCATTCATGCATTCATGCACTCTTTGGGAGGAGATCCCATAGGGAACTGAAATATATGCAGGAGTATCCTGACCTGACCTGGGTGACTCCATCCCTAAGCTTCAAGGGGTCTGCAGAACTGTTTCAGAGCTTGTCCATATTTTTTTTTCCGGGGGAGGGATCCAATGGTTTTCTTCATATTCCTAAAGACGTCCTCATCTCACAAAAGGTTAAAAACCAACAGTTTAGAAAACAAATAAAAAACATGTATTTTCGTAGATCCTATTTAATTCTTAAAATCATTAATGCTTAGTTGTCTTTTAATCTTGAAGGCCTGGAAAATCCACAATTTAAAAACTTAAAGACATAATTTAAATATAAACTTCTATTTTCTGGCTATCAAAAGCAACTTGTTTGAAAAGATATGTCTTTTAGGTATTGCTCCTCCAATTTACCTATGATTATATTAGCTACCCCCTACCCTCTCCCTTTCTCTTTCGTATTCTGGTTGCTGGATTATACTTCCTGTTTTTACAGGATGACCCAAAATATTGGTGATGATGGTGGTGATGATAACACTTTCAACTTCAGCTGGCAGGTGTTCACCAGCTGGGACTACCTGATTGGCAACCCTGAAACAGCAGACAATAAATTCAATTCTGTCACAATGAACATTAAGGTAAAGGTGCCAACTTCAAGAGCCTTTTCTTTGTATTTCTAAGAATAAAACTGGAGCCCTTCCATATCGTCTATCTAGTGAAGTATCTTGACAATTAAAAGAAAGATCAATTCATCATTTCTGCCTACCAGGATCTTGGCAGGGTTCTGATTATGACTGGAAAATATCTGATGACCCATGGCAGCATTATTTCTTCTCTAAATTTGGTACTAAAATAATGCCATTGGCTTAAAACAGGAGACAGTTATCAGAATTGGATATTTTACATAATAGGACAGTGTTCACTATTTACAGGAATAAATTAGTTCAATATTTAAAATGACTTTAAAGTATTATTTTATGACTTTGAAAAAAAACTGTAGTGGAAGAGAAGTTAGAATGAAGACTGTCCTAGTATTAGATCACTTAGAGTTTGTAAGAATTCTTTTTTCTTTCTGTCACTTGTTCTCACTTGCAATTTTCACTGGTTTGTGGAATCCGAGATTTAGTTTACATTTTCATTCCTCAGATTCCGATGTTTGCAAAATTAATACCTGAGTTGATATTCTTTTGTAGCTCAGATATTTCTCTTTTTCTATGTTTTGATTGGGTACAGGAAGCTATAATGGAAGAAAGAGCGGGCGAAATAGAAGAAAATGTCCACTTGATCAGATTCCTGAGGTTTCTTGCTAACTTCTTCGTGTTTCTGACACTTGCTGCGAGTGGATACCTCATCTTTTGGGCTGTGAAGCGATCCCAGGAATTCGCACAGCAAGACCCTGACACCCTTGGGTGGTGGGAAAAAAATGAAGTTCGTCTCTGCATACTTTTTATGTGCTTAGAACCTGACTTTTGAGATTTTGTGGGTTATGCTTCTATGGTGGAACATTAAATAAGGCCATTCTTTACCTATCCCCTCCATCCTGCCCCGTGAGTTAACCAACCCTGTCCCACATTTTCTACTCTATCCCAGCCTTATTTCCAAATCTGTCTACTGTCTGTCTGTTTTCCATTTTAGGACATCCTGTTAAATTAGAGTTGGAAGAGATATTAGCACACATATATTCCAACCAGTACATTTTATAGATAGGGACAATGAGCCTAAGAAGATTAGGTGATATGTTTGTGGTCGCAGAATCATGGAGAAGCGTGAATTAAAACCTAGGAATCTTGATCTCAAGCTCTACACTCTTTTCATGATCTTGTGTTGCTTTCTCTTTAGACCCTGAACCTATCACTGAAAGATCCAATTGTTGCCTGAATTCTTTGAAGCAGTGATAATAAAGCCCTTGGTTCCTGTGTTTATCTTACAGACAAATTCAGATTGCCTACCCACTATGAGCTAGTCTGGGTTTCTCTCTGTTTTTCACTAGCAGCCTAGCTGCCCATATCAACTTTCTCCTCCCTTGCCTTGTCCCCCCCCCCCCCCCCCCCCAGCAAATGCTGTTCAAATAAGGAAGGCCAGCTCTTTGCCAGGAATTAAATATCATGATTGTGATTTGTCTTCAAAGTATCTGCCTGTTTAGCAGATCAGTGAAGGGAGGTCAGAGGTAGATATTTAGAATCAGGAAGCCATTGATCATGTGTTGTTGCTAAGGCTTGTTGCCTTTAAAACAATGTTCCATTGTACAATATGACATCATTTTGAACTTGGGCATTTTCAAAGTATACTTAGGTTTAGCCTGTGGGAAGTATAGACCTCCCACACTGAAATTTCTGCAGAGCCTTGTAGACCAAAATGATAAAGTCTTCATAAGCATAGAATTTCCTATAAAAATCTTGGACAGAATGGTCTAACTTACTTACAACAAAAGGCTCCAAACAAAAACATTATGGGTATTTCAGAAGTGGTAACACTGGAGATGGAAGACCATACATTTAAGAGACTACATCAACACAGGCATTTCATGAAAACCTGTAAAGCAGAGAGTTGTTAGGTAGAGGGATTTTATTTATTTAAAACAAACAAATCTCAAAGCATTTACTAAGTTTACTGTCAAATTCTTTCTTGTAGTTGTGATAATACTTATAGGCAAAATTATCATGCCACTTTAGTCCATTGTTCATATCGATCAAATTTTTGTATAAATGAACTATAGTAAAGGATGGGTAGTTGATTATAATTATAAGGGTCACTCTGACCCTGAGAACCTTTTTAATACACATTTTAGGAGGCCCCTGAGTCTTAGGGGTCAACAAAGATAGTAATGGGGATTCATGTATAACTTTACAAAGTTGATGAAGCAGAATTTGAATGTACTTTATATACGGTTGCACAGGATCTGCCAAGTTTTTACTTTGGGCTGAAATTATATCATGATTTTATATTATGTTATGCTGATTTTTAGCTCCTGTTGCTTATGCTTATATATAAAAATGGAAAAAATGTTAACAATTATTTTCTAAATATTGTCTGATACTTTAATTGTTCAAAACATGGAGTCCACAGGGAGAATTAGGAAATGTTCAGTGGTGACAGTTTGAACCAGGTATTTTAGAAAGACAGCTGCTAAAGCTACCTGAAATGTTTTTTTTTTTCTTTTTTCATTTAAGAGAGGCTTTTTCCCCATCATAAAAGTAGTACACACTCTGGATTCTTTTCTTTGACTTAATTTAGCCTAATAATATAATCATGAATATCAGTCAGTCAGGAGAGGGCCACACATTTCTTACTGATCCTATTTCGCTGTCTCTGTCTCTCCTCCTCTCCACTGTGCCCTTATCATTCTCTTGCCTTCGGCATTATAAATTAGTTCTTTTTTTTTTTGAAGCTTCTTTTTGCCTTGGCTTCAGTGACTTCAATAACATCATGCTATGTATTCTCCTTGTGTTTTCTTTTTTTATGAATGTCCTCTATTTTCTTTGATAAAACCCATTGCTTTTTCCCCCCTCCCAACAGTTTGATTTTTCCAAAACTCAATATTTAATCCCGAGTCCATCTCAAGGAATTCATTTATTCTAACTGATTAAACCAGCCCATATGCTGATGGTTGCCAAATTAGTATTTCCAGTTTGCACCTTATTCCTCAAGCAGATAAGTTTCCATTTCCTTTGGAAATATTGCTGTGAGTATCAGAATCAGTGACCATGTAGAAAAATACATGTTCTTTGGATACAGAGTAATATCAATTGCATCCTTCATTATCCTAAGAAACACTGTTACTGCTGGTATATGTACATACACAAGTTCATGTACAAGCACATCTTGAGAATGTGAGATGAATATTGTCTTTGATGTTTTGTTAAGATTGAATTTTAAAAATTCATGAGATAATCTTCTTTAGTTAGTCTTATAAAACATCAAAGGAATCTAGCTTGAATCTTGTAAAGTTGTGGAGGAAAGCAATGATAATGTCTGAACACCATTAACCTAGTTCATCCCTTGTGTCTTCTTGTAGATGAACACAGTCATGTCCCTCCTGGGGATGTTCTGTCCAACATTGTTTGAATTATTTGCTGAATTGGAAGACTACCATCCCCTCATTGCTCTGAAATGGCTACTGGGACGCATTTTTGCTCTTCTTTTGGGCAACTTGTATGTATTTATTCTTGCCTTGATGGATGAGATTTACAACAAGGTAAATCTTGTGCCTGGATTGTTCTTGCTATCAGCATGTTATAATTATACATTCCCAGTCTCAAGTTTGCTAGACATGCAATCTGTTTTGTCTTCATTTTTGGTTCCATCACTTCGCTTTCTAGATTGAAGAGGAGAAGCTAGTAAAGGCTAATATTACCCTTTGGGAAGCCAACATGATCAAGGCCTATAATTCATCAGTCACTGGAAATGGCACTGCAGCTCCCTTTTTTGTGCCTCCTGCAGATGTACCCCGAGGACCCTGCTGGGAAACAATGGTGGGACAGGTAACATCACAAACAGAAGTGCATGACAGTTAATGGATTAAAAAAGGGCACAGTGAATATTTCTTCCATAAATGTGGCCTTTTTTTTATTGCTTACTAATAAAAATTAGCTAAGATTTATTGAATGCTTACCATGTGCTAGCTGTGAATTTCATAAATATTATCTCATGCCATCCTCACATCCATTCATTGAGGTAAGTTCTACTCTTATACCCCACCCCTTTCACAGTTGCACATAAAGGAAGAATATTTTCAAATACAGTGAGGTGTTGACTATCTATCTGTGTTGTAATAAAGCACCTGGATTTAGTTAGATACAGACCCAGGAGAATATTTACATGGAACTCTATTTAGTGTCACCTGTTTGCCATAAAAAAAATAGGTTTGGGAGCATACACTGGTAGTAATTTCAGTAATGTCAATTTTGTCAAATGTCTCTTAAGCATTAAAGGAAATACAATCTTAGGTTAGTTGTCATGATAATTGCATAAATGGCCCCAGTTCAAAACTAGTGGTATTTTTATCAGAGAAAAGAAATAATGTTTTATATGGCTTTCTGTCCAATAAGGGAAACCAAACCAAACAAACAAAAAAAAAAACCAAACCAAAACAAAACAAAAAAACAATATAAAATCTACTTTGGGTTCCTTATTTTTTACAGATACAGTTTCTATTTTAAAAAGACTTTAATTTTATGTCATTAGAATTGACACTTCTAATGTGCATTTTATAAACTAATTTTGGACCTGGCTTCATCACTGATTTTTTAAAATATGGCATACTGCTCTGTCAGACAGCAGTTCAGTTTCTGCAGTGATGTGGTCTTTGTGAAATTATTTGAATAATTTTTACTGTATGTTTATTTTTATGTAAGGTAAAAGGAAAATTGAAAATTAGCTTTAGTCTTATAAAGCTAATATAATTTAAACAAATATGGATAGCATTAGAGGTCCTCATTCTCAATCAAATACTCACTGGATTTAAGCCAATCAATCAACTTGATTTCAATTGTGGAAAAAAAAAAGATGGATGATGCACATAATGCTAGAATATAACATTGACGACTGAGTCCAAAAAGTATGGTATAATTAAGGATTTCATTTTACTTTATTTTTTAAGCTTTCAGGGACCTGGTAAATCCCTCTCTTTTCAGTTACATGTTATTCAATACTTAATTTTCAGACTCGCACATTTTATACATGTTTATAGGAACAGGTCATGTATGAAATAATAAATGAAAAGAAATGAAATCAAAGCTGCCTGCACTTAGTAGAGAGGTGCTTGAGATCCACAGTGTGGTAGACAGAATAATAGCCCCATAAAGATGTCCATATCCTAATCCCTGGAACCTGTTAATATGTTACCCTACAGGGTAAAAAGGACTTTGTTGATGTGATTCAATAAAGGGTCTTGGATTAGGGAAATTATCTTGGATTATGTGAATGGACCTTATGAAATAACAAGGAGACAAAAGAGTAAAAGTCAGAAAAACTAGATGTGACAGTGAAACCAGAGGTTGGAGTGATGTGCTTTAAAGATGGAGAAAGGGGGCCATGAACCAAGGAATGCAGGAAGCCTCTGGAAGCTGGAAAAGACAAGGAAACAGGTTTCAACCTGATGCCTGCACCTTGGTTTAAAACTGTGGCCTCCAGAATTGTAAAATAAATTTGTGTTGTTTTAAGCCATTAAGTTTGTGGTAATTTGTTACAGAGCCAATAGGAAATGAATACACAGGAGTACATGGGTTTCTGTGTTTCAAGGCTTCTTGAAGCAAATCCTGGTTATACTGCTTAACATGAGTGTTTTTATTATATCTAAGCTATTCCCTGAATCTTTAGTAGAAGTTGAGAGAAATGAAAAAAAAACAACAACAAAAAAACCCCAACAAGAACAGGAAGTATAGTTTTCACAAATTCAAAGAGTTTGAGATGTTCTCTTCTGTACATCCTACAATGCAGATTTGCATGAGGGCTAAGAAACCTACCCTTTACTAGGCAAACACCTATTAAATAGGATTAATAGGACTGATTGTAAAGAATAAGATTGGGGCTGTTCTTTTCTGGGGGTGAGGCAATGATTAATTATATATGGATGCCAAGGCAATCTAGCAGAATACTTATGTTTCTGATGATGCAGAAGCACCTGTGATATTCCCACACATACTCAATTAAAATAAAGGAAAAGCCACTTATTTAATTATTCTTCTTGGGAGCCCATGGACCATGCTGCTTGTTTAGTCCTTTAAAAACAAACAAACATAAAAACACTTTGTAGTGCTCCTCCTTGCTTCGTTATCTTTCCTTACTGCCACTTGAAGGATTTCCCCTCCTCTTTTACCCTCCTTGCTCTAAAGGAGCGTCCAGCACTTGGGGGAAAGTCTGCAGGGGCCACCAGTAGGGAAGAGGCTGTGGTGCTTAATGGAATGTTGATGAGGAAGGTGGAATCCATGGGGACAAAGAGAACACAGAGGACATAAAAAACCCCTGAGTGCTGGGAAGTTCTGGCCTTTAAGAGATCATTATCTATATCCATGCACCTGAAAACATTTATTTTAGCCACTTAAAGAAAGAGTGACTGTAGAAGAATTAGTCAAGGTGGCTGTGTATTGCGTGTAATATTGTGGATGCACCCCCAAAGACTCATTCTATGAGAGCATTCCAGATGTCCCCTCTTCTCCTTCATGGGTTTCTTCTGCCTTGTTTTTTCTCAAGGATATTCAAAGGGACTCAAAGGTCTCTGAATTTGAACGTAAGATAATTTGGTGGCTCCTTTATCATTCCAGGGAATCTCAAGATATAGTCATTTAGTCTCATCTCCAATGGCATCTGATAGGTAGGCAGGCAGCAGAGCCATTCTTGGGAGACAGCTATTTGAAGCTATATACTTAGGTCTGGATTTTAGGGAAGGAGAGAAAGCAGCCAACAGCTGAAGATAACCATTTATTGAATGCCTCTAATGTGCCAAGCACTATCTCCCTGAATTTTAAATTACCCTCTGAGATAAGTTATATTATTATCCCCATTTTATAGACGAAGAGACTATGACTTAGAAAGGTAAAATAATTTGCTTGAGACCTCAAAAGAAGTCAATGACAGGAGCCTGAATTTAGCCTACCTAGTCTAATTACAGTTTGTGTCCTTGTCCATCGTGCTGAATTGTGCCCCAGAAATATGATTAGCATCAACACATAGTCTTCAAACTCCTGCCATGGAATATCTACGGGCTGAGGCCCTTGCCTATTGCTTTCTCTTTACCTGCTAATGATTCACTTAGGTTTACTGATCAAAGCTATCCAGAAATTTTAACTAAATGTCATGAGTCTGAAGTTGTTAGGCGTGGAGCTCAGGGCTCAGGAAGCCAGTGTGGAGACCATGCTCCCATCCTGACTAGCATGCTGGAATCTGGGATTGGATGATGTCCCCAAGATGGACGGGGCCACTGTTTTGGGGATTCCCTTTCTTATAAAGTGGTGTGTTCCTCCTATGATATGTGACTAATATTTTTACCTTTTAATATAATGTTTAATCCTCTTCTGCTATTTTGTGTGTAAGTGAGGACATTGCTTAGGAAAAAAATAGAATTTCAACCATTGGAATCAGGGTGCTTAGGCAGATGGGAAGGACTTCAAAATCACTCTGAAATTTTCTCTTACCTGAGCAAGTCTTCCTGAACTGTCAGTGAAAACCTAAAAATATCCCTCATATAGCCTACCTCTAATTGATGCTAGTTATTAGAATCTGAACTCAAATTGCCTGGGGAATGAAAAGGAGAATAAGAGTAAGAAGAGAAAAATTATGTCTGGAAACAACTGGGTGAATTTACTATCCCTCAGCCATTCGTTCCATATTTATTGAGTGCATGCTGAGTGCTAGATACTAGAGGTGGAGCCGGTAACAGGAGGAACAGCTCTCTGCCCATGTGAAAATTACAATCTGTTGGGGGGACAAAGCCACTAATTAAATAATTATGCAAAAATTTCAAATTTACAATGGCAACAAAGCACTACAAGAATGAGGTGCATGGAATCTGAGAATTTCTTATAGGGAAGCTTGCCCTTGTCAGCAAGGTGAGAGGAAGACATTCCATTTCTGGAAGTGAACTTCCTTGATCAAATTCCACACACTTTAAAATGTGATGGATCTTCACAGATTTCCCCCTAAACATTGTGCCAGTCTAACTCCCGCATCATTGTATGACCGTGCCTATTTCATCATCTCCACCAATATGGAGAGGCATGGATTTTTAAAAATCACTCTGAGGCAACAACTCGTTGTATTAATTTTTATTGTGTGGAGTTTAAGTATTCTTGAGTGTTTTAATTGACTGTGTATTTCCTCCTGTGCATTTCTTATTTGTGATATTTCCTCGTTTTTGTCCTAATTGGATCAACCATCTATTGTCATACTGATTTGTAAAAGTTTTTAATATGATAGAAAAACTTAATCTGCTATCATATATGCTGCAAGTGCTTATTTGTAAATTTGTCTTTTAAATGTATAAATATTGCTGCTTGTCAGATTAAATTTTAAACTTCTGTATTTTCCCATTTTGGGTTCTTGTGTCATGCCTATAAGTTTCTTAGTACAAAGACTTTTGAGACAGTAATTTTGGAACAGAATATAATTATTTTTAGGTTAATAAAATAGGGGTGAACATTCTTCATTTGCTAGGTGTACCTAACTAGCTTCTTTGCCATTAATTGCAATTTCCATGCTAATCCTATTTAGAAAGATAACACATTTGATGTCAACACTAGAACCATTTGAAGAGAGAAATGTAAATTTTAATGCAAATATTATCTCAACAGGAATTTGTGCGGCTGACTGTTAATGATGTTTTGACCACCTATGCCACAATCCTCATTGGGGATTTTCTCAGAGCATGTTTTGTAAGATTTTGCAATTACTGCTGGTGCTGGGATTTGGAATATGGATATGTAAGTACAATATTCATTTCTCTCTTATCAGATTATTCCTTTGTGTTTCATTGTTTGTATACTGTGCAAGGAAAAGACATCTCAGAATTTAGGGGGTGGGATTGCCTTTTTAAATATCAATATAGTCCCCCCTTACTACAGAGAATACATTCCAAGACCCCCAGTGGATGCCTGACACTGCAATAATACCGAAACCTATATATACTATGTTTTTTTTCCAATACATACATACTTTTTCACTTAAAGGAAGCACGTTACAGCTTCTCTTTGGCATATCTGAATTGCCAGCATCACTACTCTTGTGCTTTGGAGACATTATTAAGTAAAATGAGGGTTACTAGAACATGAACGCTGTGATACCCTGACAGTGGACCTGATAACCAAGATAACTACTAAGTGACTAAGGGGCAAGAAGTGTATATAGTGTGTATACACTGGACAAAGGGATGATTCACATCCCTGGCGGGATGGAGCAGGATAGTGCGAGATTTCATCACACTACTTGGAATGGTGGGCGATTTAAAACTTGTGAATTGTTCATTTCTGGAATTTTCCATTTAGTATTTTTGAGCTATGATCGACTGTGGATAACTGAAATCATGGAAAGTGATACTGTAGATGAGAGAGGACTACTGTAAATGAAGGCTAATGAGGTACAGCTTTAATTCAGAGGGGGTCAGACTTGAAAATCATGGCTGACAATAGTCTCATAAATTACCACAGGATGGCTAAAGCAATGGACCTTAACCTGTCAATTAGAATGGTGAACTCAGTAAATCTTGGACCCATAGTCAGCACTTTCCCCATGAAGCTTGCTGGCATTTCAAGAAGCAAGGCAGGATGGGTAGTATCAACCACACATTCCATTAATTTCTTTGAATGCTGCTAAACAAACTCTGGACACTTATGCCCATCATTATGCAATACATTGGGTGATGAAGGATTCATAAGTATGGTGCTTACTTCATAAAACTCACAGGCTAATCAGAGCTCAGCAGAAACACTGTGGAACTTATGAGAAAGGCCCAGGGTGCTGATAGGGCTCTGGCAAGAGGTGGAGCTGAATTCTGGCAAATTGACTGATGTCCTTTCCCACAACAACAGCACAGATTTTTCTGAGCCCCATCACAGGTTTACCCACTATGTCAACCCCAGGTACCCCCATGAAGTTTGAGGGCGCCAGCAGAGTCATTTTGGGAAATATGACCTAGCGGGTTGGTAGTACTCATTTGCTTAAACTCCTCCAGTGGCTTTGTAAGTACTTAGAAGAAATTTCAAATGCCTGTCTGGGGCCTTCCATACCCTATATGATCTGTTTCTTTTCTTTCCCTCTGAGCTCTTTTCGTACCACTTTTGCTCTTTCTTTGTGAAGTCCACAAACGTTGGGATTCTTTCTTATGCTCAAACACAAGGTGATCATTGCTTTTGTGCTAGCTGTTCCTCCCTCTAGGGTTGCAGATTCCTAAAATTTGTCATGGCTGATTCCTTCTTGTCATTAAGGGCTCAGCTAATATGTCACGTGCTTAGAGCTCTGCTCTGACCGTCCCATCTATGATAGCCTACCAGACACTTGCAGTTTCAACACAGTTTTATTTTCTTCATATGATATATAACTATTTGACATTTCCTTTTTCAAGCATGCTTATTATCTGTCTCCCTCTGTTAGAGTGAAAGCTCTATGAAAACAGAGGCCTTAACCTCTATGCTTAGAACTCTGCTTGTCACATGGCAGGCGTTATGTGTTGACTGGCTGATTCAATACTGAACCTCCACATTCTAGCCCCGTCAAGGCAACACCATCTATTGACAGAATTCTGCTTGCTCCTAGGAAGGTGCCCATGGAGCCATCTCTGGCTTAGTATCCTGGAGCCAATGGTGTTTCTGTCCTCACTACTGAAGGGATATCCTTTACTGCTGATCTCCCTCCTGTCTCATGCCCTCTAGTCTCAGGAAAAAATCCTACATGCAGAACTGTTTGCAAGACTCCAGGCTAGATCCTCTCCCTGGCTATCTGACTTTGAGATCGTATCTTTTATGAGGTCATTTCTATCACCCTCACTGAAAGTGCCTCTCAGATGAGCCTAAGGCAGTTAGGTAATGCTCTTTGGTGAATGACAGTGAGGTAATGCTATACATCCAGGATGTTGTATTGCTTTCCCACCCCTTGCTATGAGGTATTCTGCTGGCTTGGTTTCATATCTATTTTCCTTGCCTGATTCAGCTTGTCCAAAGCAGACATAAAAATTGCCTTTTGTTGTTGTTGTTGTTAGACTATCATTTGGCTTATGCTTGCCTTTTATCCCTTACTTCTTAAGTGCTAGAAAATTCTGCTTCAAATATGAAGTCAATACAACATGACCTGGATGCATAAAAGCTGTAATAACGTGACTAATTTATTATTTATTAAGTGCTGACAGAGCTCTTGAGTTAGTACAAAGTACAGGAAAAACGATAAGTTCCCGTTTTAGGTCATAGGGAAAGAATCTTCTTCCATGTTACCTTTGGAAGCTTCTTCAGACAGACGTTCAACATCAAAACAAGTTTTAAAACATTAAGGTTGGATGATGGATCTTTGATATGGATCCGATTTTCATTGGCCCACCAAATGGACAGCTTACACAGCTGAGTGCCTACTAGGTGCAAAACATTATGAGCAAACCTCTGTGCTGGGTGGTAAGGGGATACAGAGATGCAAAAGACATAAGCCTAAGAGGGGGTTGGAAACTTGGGCCTGCAAGCTAGATTCAGCTTACAGAAAAATTTTTCCTTTATTCTACAAAGCAGTTTGTTTGTTTTTAATGAGCTAATATTTTATATTTTAAGATATTCATTAAAATACAGCTAACATACAATATTATATTTGTTTCAGGGGTACACCATAGTTGTTCAACATTTATATACCTAAAGTAGTGATCACCATGATAAGTTCAGTAACCACCTGACTCTGTACCATGCTCACAATATTATTGACTATATTCCCTAAGCTGTACATTATATCCCCATGACTTATTTGTTTAATACCTGAAATTTTGAACCTCTTATTCCCGTTCAACTTTCCCCCCCTTTATAATTTTTCAATTACAGTTGACATTCAATATTATTTTATATTAATTTCAGCATAGTGGTTAGACATTTAAATAATTTAAGAAGTGATCCCCCTGACTAGTTTAGTACCCACCTGGCACCATACATAGTTATTACAATATTACTGACTATATTCCCGATGCTTTAGGTCCTCATGACTATCTTGTAACTACCAATCTGTACTTCTTTTTTTTTTAAAGATTTTTATTGGGGAATTGGGGGATGGGAACAGCACTGGGGAATTGGGGGAAGGGGAACAGACAAGTTGCTGTCCTTGTGTTCTTCAGTCTAGTTGTGGAGGATGTTGCTTCACTGGCCCAAGTTGGCACCATCATTGTGCTCTTCCCGGGTGAGGCAGATCAGTCGCTGGCATCTGGACAGCCACTCACGGTGGCTACTGGCCGCTCACGCTGGCTGCTGGCTACACACGGTAGTCCATGGCAACCCACTGCATCAGGGGCTGCAGCCTACGCCATCGCCATCGCCGGTGCTGGTGACTCATGGAGGCCCAGCTCCAGGTTGAGCTGTTGTTCAACATCTTAGCTGTAGAGGGCAGTGTCACTGGCCCTCATATGTGGGATCCGAACCGGGGCCCTCTGGCATCCCAAGCCAGCTCTTAACCAACGCTCCACTGGGCTGGCCCACCAATCTGTACTTCTTAATCCCTTCACCTTTGTCACCCTGACCTCTAAACCTCCTCCCACCTGGAAACCATCAAAATGTTCTCTGTATCTGTGAGTTTGTTTCTGTTTTGTTTGTGTATTTTGTTCTTTAGATTTCATGTATAAGCCAAATCACACTGCATCTGTCTTTCTCTGTCTGACACTCCACTTAGCATAATACCCTCCAGATCCATCCATGCCACTGCAGATAGCAAGTACCCATTTCCTTCCCTGGCTGAACAATGTTCCATTGTATATATGTGCCACCTACTTTTTATCCATTCATCCATCAATGGACACCCAGACTGCCTCCACATCTTGGCCATTGTAAACAGTGCTGCAATGAACATATGGATGCACACGTCCCCTCGTAGCGTTTTGGGTTCCTTTGGAAAAATACCCAGAAGTGGGATTACTGGGTCCTTCTTTGTCACTTATTATAGCCTTTGTTTTAAAGTCTATTTTGTCTGGTATAAGTATTACTACCCTAGTTTTGTTTTTGTTTTTGTTTCCATTATCATGAAATATCTTTTTCCATCCCTTTACTTTCAGTCTGTGTGTATGTTTCAATCTGAAGTGAGTCTCTTGTAGGCAGCATATGCAAGAGTTTTGTTTTCTTCTCCAGCCACTCTATGTTTTTGATTGGAGCATTTAATCCATTTACCTTTAAAGTAATTGTTGATACATATGAGTATGTAGTTATTGCCATTTTATTATTCATATTTTTTCCTCTCTCTCTCTCTCTCTCTCTCTCTCTCTCTCAAATAAGTCCCTATAAGATTCCTTATAATGCTGGTGATGAACTCCTTTAGCTTTTTATTTGTCTGGGAAGCTCTTCATCTGTCCTTCGATTCTAAATGATAACTTTGTTATGTAGAATAATCTTGGCTGTAGGTCCTTACCTTTCATCACTTTGAATATTTTGTGCTAGTCCCCTCTGGCCTGCAAAGTTTCTGTTGAGAAGTCAGCTGACAATCATATAAGACCTCCCATGTAAGTAAATAGTTGCCTTTCTCTTGCTTCTTTTAAGATTCTTTCTTTGTTTTTAAGCTTTGGCATTTTAATTATCATGTGTCTTGGTGTAGGCCTCTTTGGATTCATCTTGTTTGGAATTTGCTGTGCTTCCTGGGCTTGTATATTCATTTCCTTGGTCAGGTTAGGAAAGTTTTCTGTCATTACGTCTTCAAATAGGCTCTCAGTTCCTTGCTTCTCTTTTCTCCTTCTGGGACCCCTATTTTCCATAGCTTGGTGGACAAAATCATGACACTCTTCTGAAGAGGCTGAGATTGAGGGTTTGATTCTTGAACTGACACAGGGAAGAGCTGCTCTAAGGCCACAGATGGTGCAGGCCACTCAGCAGAGCATTTATTAACTGTGTTTGTGATCTCATGGGGCTCTAGGAGAGAAGAGATAATCCAGAGCCAAGTGCTCTCTTGGAAGGAGAAAGACACAGCATTAGTATCTCGCGATTAGAAGCAATTCATTTTGGCTCCATAAAGGCCACATTTTTTTTCATTGTTGATTTTAGGACAAAAAATATCAACCAAATCTCTTTTTTTGCATCTTGTGAACATTATGCTTTTAGATAATCCACAAACTGGTAAAACATTGTATATCCGTTAGCAGTATGTTAAGTGAATTCATTTTGAAATCATCCAGGTCATTTTTGTCCTGCTTAATATAACAGGGCTATGTATTATTTTATTACGTATAATTTTATCACTTTATCTTGTTATCTGACCGTTTTTGTTATGCCATTCCTGTTGTTTACTTCACGAATCTGTTAACTAGGCACATTGCAGATATTTTTCAGTTGCCTGGGAGAGTCCTACTGCCTTTTGGGAAAGTGATAAAGTTGATTTCAAAAATTTTTGAGCAAAGCATTCAAATGCTTTTCTTGGAGTTCCAAATCACAGAACTGTTCTAACTTCTTACAAATATGTGTTTGAGTTCTTGAATTTAGGAAGAACAAAGAAACATTAAGGTCACTTTAGTGTGTGTATGAGTGTGTGTGTGTGTGTGTGTGTGTGTGTGTGTGTGTGTGTGTGTGTGTGTGCGCACGCGCATGCGCGCGTGAGTGCGCATGCGCGCATGAGCGTGCATGTGTGTGTTGGGGAGGTAGTTATTATGAGGGTACATATGATCTGAAGTCACACATGCATATGTGAGGACCTAGGGCAGTAACAGGGAACTGCTACTCCCTTGGTCTTTCTTTCATGGGCTCTTTGCTCTCTCAGTACCCCTCTTTTTGCTGTTCTCTTTTTCTGTTGTTAGTGATTAATTCAGTCTCCTGCCTGACTATTCTCTATTTTAAATTAAATAGAAGCCAGTTTTATTGCCTTTGCTAATTAGCACTAATCCCATTAATACAGGTGTTCCTTCTAGGATGCTTAATGTGTCACCAGGAAGCCTTTGGATGGGCCACCTTAGGATAGATACCCACCTCAGTTCCTATTGGTGACCCCTCTGCACAAAAAACAGCCTGGTGCTGCTGCTCTAAGCAGCATGGTATCATCTAGGAGACAAACACTGGATATTGAGTTGCATAACTTCTTAAACTTTGTTGTATTTTTCTGTTTATTTTATTGTAAAAGAAATTCACATTTAAAGAAAAATATTTTACAATAGGCAAAACTGAAGGAAGAAAATAAAAGCCATAATCCATCATCCACATATAACTTTTAATTTTGCTGATTACTTTCAAGTCTTTTCTTTATGCATAATTTCATATTGAGTTGATAAAAATAGTGTATAATTTTATATACTATTTCTTCAACATTAAAACATAATTTTTTTCTTGTGTATGTAAATTTCTTCCAACAGTGATTGTAGTTAGATGCAATATATGTCATAATATAGGTACACTGTATTTACTTAAACAATGTTAGATATTTAGATGCTTTTTCAATGCTTGTTTAAATTATTCAACATTTAAGATTAATTTGTTAAAACAAATTCCTAAAAGTAGACTTACCAGGGTTAAAGAAAATGAGGTTTTTAAAGCTTTTAATACATATCATCAAATTGTTTTTCTAAAAGGTTGCTCCAATTTCTACTTTCAGCAGCAGTGTATGAGAGCCTGTCTCACCACACTTTCACAGCATTGAATGATGACATTTTAAAATGAGACTTTCTATGTTAAGAAGGGAGATTTATTTTATTTATTGCTAATTATCTATTATATTGACTGTTCTGCTATAGTTGCTGCATGAGAGTATTTGAGAGCTTAGCCATATCTATGCAGAACCATGAAACACTGGCCTTTCAATACTCGCTATTTGAGATAATAATCCAGTGAATGTCTGTGTCTCCTCTAGCCTTCCTACACTGAATTTGACATCAGCGGCAACGTCCTCGCTCTGATCTTCAACCAAGGAATGATCTGGTAGGCCAGCTGTTGGATAATTTACCACTTTTAGAAGAGCCTCCAAGCTCATTATTGCATAAAGCACTGTAACCCAGTGTCAGAGGAAACCACAATCTGTGTCTAAGTCAACATTTGCCTTTGCAAAGTGGATGGCTATAAAGAATTTACTTTTCTCTTTTTTGTATCTTCAATCTTGGTCCTCAGAGGTATCTGCCTGTTTTGCAGAGCACTCATTCAGCAAAGGATGGGAGCCTATGTTCTGGTTGGTAGACTATTCGAAGGCTTCTTGTGTTTTATATCCTGTGACACTAGGATCTTATAGTGAAACATTAATGATCATTACATGTTAAGTATGAAATAAATTAGTGTAAGGTCTCCTTGAGAAACTGATTTCATGTAGTAACTATTGAATATGTTTCAAATACAACTTATAGCTACTTAAAAAACATCATATATTACCAAATTTAGTAGTTTATAGAGATGAAACACGTGTTTTAGGCAGGTCAAGTTAAAAATATGATCTTTATTTTGGAACTTGTTTCACAGGGCAATTTGCACATCAGAATTATTTCTTTTCCTGTACAAAGAATTGCCATATCTCTTATGAAATGAAAGAGTTCTTCCCGTAAACCTTGGCAGGTTCAGATGAGTTGATACAGTAGAAACCGTTTTTGAGTTTAAAAATTGAATCACAGCATACAATTTATCTGGAGACCATGTGTCTTGGAAATCTGTCATTCTTTTTTTTAATTTTTTTTATTTTTTTATTGTTAGTTTCAGGTGCACAGAACAATGCAATAGTTACCCTTTTCACCCTCACAAAGTAACACCCCCCTCCCCCATCCACTGCCCTCCCACCCCCGATATCATGCTTATCTATTACAATTCCATTGA